TAAAGAAAAAAAAAAAAAAAAAAAGAAAGAAAGAAATCAAATGTAAAATTTAAAATTGTTTTTCAAAATTATCGATCGAATTATTGAAATCGATTCATGAAGATAGAGAAAAATAAAACGTAATTTATTTCGAATATATCGCCCATATATCATCAAATATATTAAACATAAAGACCAAGTAACGCACGATCATATAATAATTCATCTCATTCGTGATTCGTGAAAAATTAAAAAAAGAGAAAAAAAAAACGAACGAAAAGCGACAAAAGTAAGACGAAGAGAAGAAAGATAAGAAGGACGTGGTAACGAGAGCATAGCAATGAACCTTTTGGGATAGAAGGGCGCGGACCACCTGGTTGGCGACGTCGTCCAGACACCGCTCGTACTGGCGACGCTGAGCGTCCGCGTCCCTCGCCAAGGCGGCGTGTTCCGTTTCCAAGGTCGCCAGACGTGCCACCAACGCGGCATGCACCTCACCAGCACACGCAGCCTCCAAACCGCGCAGCTGACCCCTCATCGACTCGTTCTCCAGTTGCAGCTTCGAGATTTGTGCCTGATACTGATGTACGCGCGCCTATTCGGAACAAAAAAAGAAAAATTATTAGTAAAAAACGATCGAACGAGTCATTGCTCTTCAACGGAGAGATCTGTAAGGCACGATCCTGCAGTTTGATATTTATCTTAATTTTAGGTTTAGATTTATATCACTTTCAAATACTTTTCGAAAAATATAAAAGATGCAAAATAATTTTCGATACAAGTATTGGTATGCCATTGGTATGTACAGCTTGTCTCGTTTTTTTATACATATCAAAAAATATATAACATCATTGACCATCAAAAGAACACTCTTCGATTCTTTCGATGCCATATGGTAACAATCTCATGGACTTCGCCGTCTCCTCCTTGGCAGGGTGCAGTTTTCTCAAGAAGTTCGATGCATCTCGTGGCCAGAGTTAATAACACGAGCGGCCGTTATTAGCAGAAAAGCGTTTAACGTTAAATTAGGGTTGCGGAGACCTGTCGGAGACAGGGGTGCTAATAGAGGGTGCGTGTGTCTGATTTATAACAGTCGTGCCAGCCAGCCGGCCCTTGCTAATGTCTACACCCCCTTCTTCTTCCAAAACTGAAGGGAGGCCCAACGATTTTCTGTCATCCCACGCGGGGGTGGAAAATAAAAATACATACTGTCCGCTTCTTGGAATTCTTCCCGCAACGTTATCCTATTTTTCCACGGTGGTTTCGTCATTCGCGTCGTCATAATTTATCGTCCAGCTTCTTCGTTCCTCGTTCATAAATTATACCGAATCGACGATGGGAAAACATGTAATCTAATTACGCTGGCTGCCACTGTCGCGACAGCTTGAGGAATACTCGTAACACGGGAAGTGATTATTTTCAGCATTGCTCCAAGAACCCAGGTGACGATTCGAGGTAAAGTTTGTAATTTTACTTTCTTCTATAATATCAAATTTTAGAATATCGATGGTTTATTTGTTTTCCTTACTTTTCAGCGAATAATTTAATCCAGCTTTTATACGAGTCTGAATATCAGCCAAAAATCTATTTTATTTCATATTATTCTTTCTAAGTTCTATTGTTCAGAATTCGAACTATGAAATTAGCAGTTTTCCATCATCAATCGTTCATCTTCGAGCGAAAGAAAAGGAAAATTTGGAAACGATATGGAAAATCTTTTCGTATTTTCTTTATCGAGGAAAATAATAAGTCGAGGAAGAAATTCCAAGCAACTTTTCACGATCGGGAAGTAAGAAGGGTGCACGGTTCGAAAGTAAAATCGAACGGCTAGAGAGAGAACACTTGCAGACATTATACAGTTCCTCCGTAGCCGGGAGAGAGATTTTTAAGGGGTTTGGGCATCAGTGGGGGTGGGCCGACATCGAGCCAGGGGGATCGAGTGACGATCGATAATAAACGGTATTTCGTGGGGCAGTGATGCACACCCCTCGCCTCTGAATCTACGACTCTTTTAGAAGCAAACCGGCCGTGAACGAGATAGTGCGTACCATTCTAAGGGTTCGCAGCAAACGCGACCGTTTACCGTTTCCTCCCTTTTCATTGGACCCGGTCGCGATGCTTTACTTCGTTAAGTCGGAAATATCGGCAAATATGTGGCGAAAGTATCGTCGTTATTGGCCTTTGCTTTGGATCGATCAGGAAATTAGAAAATTTGATTCTATGTTTGCAAAAAACGTTTTCTTTCTTTTGAATATTTTTCTGAATTAATTCGTATAATTTTTCTAAGGGTAACGGAACACGCGCGATAAAATGTGTCGATTCTCCTACTTCTTCCTCTCTAATTCAATTTTTTTACATTCGAAGAAGTACATTTGAAACGATAATATACACTAGAAGCTTTCTAATCGATATTAAAGGTACAGAAGGTCAAAATAAATTGCGTTACACGGGAAAATTCAACGGTGAACTTGGCACTTGTTCCGTGTCGTAGTCAGAAACAATCGTACATGACAATTTCGGCTGACGTACAACAACAGGCTGTTGGTTCACGGTACGAGAGTGTTATTATTGGATTGGGGGGAAAAGCTTTTTACCCGAGTATCAACCGTGTCTCTGTTTATAGAAAAGAAAAAAAAATCGCGAAATATAAAAAAAGAAAAAGAAAGGAATAACTGAAACAATAAACGGTGGATAGTAGATCGATTCGAGAGAGTTTAGCAGTCTCTTCGTTATCTGTTCGTGCTTATCGACAACAGGGGCCAATGGTTGAATCGAAAAAGGGGAAACCGTTTCGCTTTTCATTTCGTCTTGGCTCCGGAAAGGCACGTTAAAATCAGATGAACCACTCGAATGAATATAAATTTAAGGAAGATCGACGCTCTCTTCGTGGAATTGAAAGGACCCGTGTGTTTCGATGTAACACGAAATACGACCAATTATCGAGCAATCCTGTACTTCTAGGAGTGGAAGTTTTAACGGTGACCGTATACCAATTTATCTACTGAAAGAAAAATTTTGTTGTAACATTATATCTCCGATGTGATTTCTAATTCTATCAATTTTGTACTTCGTTATAAAACGTTTTTTATATGTTATATAAATTAATTTCTATTTATATTTTCTTTTTCAATTAAATTTATTTTTATTTACCTCGTAAGAAAGCGTAAGAGCAGTTTTCTCCTGCTTCAGCTGTTCGGCCCTGTGCTTATGTTGCAGCAACCCTCGTGACGTCTCCTCCATCCTGGAACAAATCGAACACACTTGAAGAAGCGAGTTTTAATTCTCGTCAAAAAGATTCTAATTGAACCGACCCCCGTGTTGTTCCCAATCTCTTTTTTTTTGCCATTGTTGCCCAATGGTTTCGATTGCTTCCAGCTTGCTAATTCCACCGTGAAGTATTAATACTTCAAAATCCAATATAATCGAGGATGATCGAAGCATTCGTCGATAAATAAAATTCGAAAG